GGAGGAGGGGCGGGTTGGATTTGGGTACAGATCATCCGGGCAGGTGGAGGATGGAGGTGGCAGGAGAGGGGTCAGGGGAGGGACGCGACTGTGGATCACTGATTCTACTTCCCAGCTGAGGAAATGGGTTCACACAGGTCAGGTGACTGCCCTAGGCCACCAGCAAGTTGAAGGATCTGGATCTGAGTCTTCACACTTGAGGAGTCCCCACACCAAAGCTTTGCTCACCTCGCTGAGCTGCCTTCCAGGCCCCCAAGTCATACCTGGGAACACCTGATGAGTGTCTCTACAGGCCAGAGTTCATCCAATCCTCCCAACAACCCTAGGAGGGTAGATACTCTTATCTCATTACTCCTCACTTTTACAGATGAGGAAACTGAGACAGAAAAGTCAAGTAACTTGCCCAAGGTCACACAGCTGCTAGAACAAGGCGGCTGCAGCCAGAGACAGTTGGAGCTTTTATGTTCCTTGCAATGTGTGGGATGGGAGTTTGCAGGAGGGGACAGATGGGCAGGGAGTGAACTATGGAAGTGTGGAGCACCAGGAAGTCTCCAGAGATGAATAATGTACGTGCATGCTGTGTGACCTCAGGTCACTCACACCCCCTCTCTGGGCTTCAGTTTTCTGAGACAAGAACCCCAAATCTCCAGGCTCCCTGCTCTCTTCCCATCTGTTCCTCACATTCCTTTGGTCAACCCCTCCATTCCTACCTTCAACATACACACCCAGAGACTAAGGCAGGGAAGGCGCCGGAGATCGGGGTGGGATATGGAATGGATGGGCGAGGAGAATATAGGGACTAACCCTTCTCCAAAAACCTAGTCAATTGCAGGAATCCTTTGGTATCGCCTTGGTTTTTGGGGGCAGTAAGTCCTACCAATCTTGCCTCCCGGGGCCTGCAGGGACCGGGCTCCCCAACGCTCTGCAAAGACCCAGGGCTTGTTTAGAAAGTGTCTCTGTCGGAGCCTGAGTCACCCAATCCCTGGGTGGTCTAGGGGAAACCACAAAGACTGGGTGAGGAGGGAGGACAGCAGGTCCCGCCACCGCTGAACTCAGCAGCTACACCAATTCCCAGAACTCAGTTTCCTCATCTGTAAACTGAGGGGCTGGAAATGGACTCTCAGGCCCTCAAGAAGGCAGCCACAGGACCTCTCCCTGACACTCAAGGCCACCTGAGGACCCCAGGGAAGTCCTCAGCTTCAGAGCAGGAGATAGCTTCAAGGTTGAGATCCCTGGAAGAAATCAGTCTTTCAGGTGTGCATATTGTCCCCCAAGGTACAAGCCTACTCCAACAAAGCCAATCACATCCAGGGCATGGGGAGAGCTCCAGACTGGCATTTGAGGTGGGGGCTTGTTCCTTCCTCCAGGGAGCTTGAACAAATGACCATTAATGTCATCGTCAGCTTCTTTATCTGTAAGGGCTCCCAAGCAGTGAGTTAGTGTCACTAGTCATTCCTCCAAGCACATTCTCACATAGGGCAACCGGTTATGAGCCTGCAGAGTTCAGACGGAAGGGCCAAGGCCAGAGCAGTGCAGGGCAACAGACTGAGGAGAGAGGCACGGGGACTCCCACGCTAGGTTTGGGCCTCGGGGTTGCAATGAGAAGGGGTGTAGGAGTTTGAGCTGGCAGCAGAACCAGGAGAGTTTTCCTTGAAGGGCAGGGTAGGGCCAGTGAAGCTTAGCTCTGAGAGGCAATGTCTGCCGGGGATGGTGGTTCATGCCTATAATCCTAGCACTTTGGGAGGCCCAGATGATGGATCATCTGAGGTCAGGAGTTCAAGACCAGCCTGACTAACATGGTGAAACCACGTCTCTACTAAAAAAGTACAAAAATAAGCCAGGAGTAGTGGCAGGTGCCTGTCGTCCCAGCTACTTAGTAGGCCAAGGCAGGAGAATCACTCGAACCCAGAAGGTGGAGGTTACAGTGAGCCAACATCACTGCACTCCAACCTGGGTGACAGAATGAGACTCCATCTCAAAAGAGAAAAAAAAAAAAAAAAAAAGCAATGTCCTCTGCCTGGCTGGTCGCCCTCTGAGAATCTGGGGGACGGATGTGGGATCAGGAAACCTGGGTCACACTCCAACATTCCTTGATTACAGGGTTGAGGTGAGCACTTCCCTGCTCCAGGCCTCAGTTTCCTCACTAATAAAACGGGGCTGTCAACCCCGAAGATGTCAGATCATAATGATCACTTCCACATCCAGGCATTGCAGAGTGGAATGGCAAGAAGCCCCTCTCAGGAGACTGGCATTGGTGGGCACCAGGCTCAAGGGGAGCCAGGATGGGTTCAGGGTTCAAGGGATCCTGCAATGATCCTTAGGAGGCCCAGGTCTGCTCATCTCCCTGGCCCACTGAGAAACCAGCTCACCTTCCCCACTGCCCCCTGAAGATCACCCCCGCTCCTCATCTTGGTGTTTGAGATCCCCCAGCTACCTTTCCAGCCCTGGCCCTGTATTAATAATACCACCTGGGTCAGGTGCAGTGGCTCGCACCTGTAATCCTAGCCCTTTGAGAGTGGATCACCTGAAATCAGGAGTTCGAGACCAGCCTGACCAATATGGTGAAATCCCGTCTCTACTAAAAATACAAAAATTGGCCGGGCATGGTGGCATGCGCCTGTAATCCCAGCTACTCGGGAGGCTGAGACAGGAGAATCGCTTGAACCTGGGAAGCAGAGGTTGCAGTGAGCCAGCCTGGGCACAGAGTGAGACTCTATCTGAAAAAATAAATAAATAAAATAATAGCTGCTGTGTCCTGATGGCTGAACAGGTACTGCGTGGCATGCTTCATTCTCCCAATTCGTACCTACTTCTGAGGTGGAGACAATCTTATTCCCATCTTACAAACGGTAACACCCACGCATGTCAAGAAGTCATTGAAGTCACTCCGAGGGGCAGAACTGGGATTTGAACTCGGGCAGCCTGGCCTCTCCTGCTTCCTGGTCTCTGCCACCCCCAAACTCTTTGCTCCTGCACCTTCTGCCAACCTTAGCCTGCAAGCTTGCTGCTCACTTGTCCTGTGAGGACCAGAGGTCAAAGCACTGAACCCTCCTACGAGGCCTCCTGATTCCCCTCTTTGGCACTCCCACCGAAGTGGTTGCTTATTCCGTTTGGCTGTGCACCCACAAACTGCCTGTGAGCCTGAGGTATCTCCCAGACCGCTGCTAGAACAAGAGCTCTCTGAATACTCCAGTGAGACAGACATCCCTGCTGAGTGTTTTCATAGCAGGGCCTCAGTGCGGAGCACCCTGGCATGGCCAGCTGTGGTCAGCCCAGAAGCACCGCTATGCCTCAGTATGGGGTGAGAATTACGGGGGCGGGGGGGGCAGTCTATTGGTAAATAACTATGGGAAACAAAGTTAAGCGGTTTGACTTCTTGGAGGATGTGGCAGCGCTTCTGGCATTCATGACCTTGTGTGATCCCTCCCACATTGTAACAGAGATGGTTTGTATGAGCAGTATGGCAGAAGTGATGGCATGTCACTTCAGAGATATAGTTACAGAAGACAGCAGCTTAGGTTGGGCATGGTGGCTCGTGTCTGTAATCCCAACACTTTGTGGGGCTGAAGTGGGAGGATCACTTGAGCTCAGGAGTTCAAGACAAGCCTAGGCAACATGGTGAAATCCCATCTCTACCAAAAATACAAACATTAGCCAGGCAGGATAGTGTGCACCTGTAGTCCCAGCTACTCAGGAGGCTGACGCAGAAGGATCATGTGAGCCCAGGGAGTCTGAGGCTACAGTGAGTCATGATAGGGCCACTGCACTCCAGCCTGGCTGACAGAGTAAGACCCTGTCTCAAAACAAAACAAAAACCAGCAGCTTCACCCTTGCTCTGTTGATCACTTGCTCTGGGGAAGCCATGTTGCAAGGAGCCAGTGGAGAGGCCCATGTGTAGGGATCTGAGAGATCCTGCCAGCAGCTACGTGAGCGAGCTTGGAGCAGGTCCCCCAAACCCATCAAGACTCAGATGACTGCAACCCTGGCCGACAGCTTGATGGCAACCTCATGAGAGACCCTGAGCCAGAACCACTTGGCCAAGCTGCTCCCAGATTCCTGACCTACAGAAACTGTGAGAGATAATAAATGTTAGTTATTTTAAGCTGCTACGTTTGGGGATAATTTATTATGCAGCAAAAGATGATACATAGGACTTCTCAGAGCACTTAATATGTTAATATAAATGTCCAAGATAAAAGATATACAATGCAACATTCCTCTTCATTATCTGGCCAAGGAGACCTTCTTTTTTTTTTTTTTTTTTTTTTTTTGAGAATATTCTTCAGAAAGCTGATCTAATGATGTCTCTGGCCCTACAATTTGATGTAACTTCGAACCTTGATTTTGTGTCACGAGCAAGTCATTTATCCTTCCAGAACCTCAACTTTTCCCTTTTACAAAGTAGAAATAAACCATCTGCCTTTACATAAATCATTAATACAGCCCTGGATGGGCAGATTCTGAGCTATTTTTGGCTGGGGGTGGGAAAGAGCCTGTCTAGGTCCTAAGAGAATCTACTCACCATGGGGCTCGAGATGGCTCTGCAAGGTAGCAGGTGGGTTCAAGGCCCATTTCAGTCTTTGTTCCCCAGGCCGTTTCCACAAAGTGGTGAGCAATAGTGCCTTCTTCAGGCTTGCTCATAGCTCAAAGACGGTGGGTGTGGGCCTGGGCCCTTCTAGGCTAGGACACGAACCTCCTCTATCAGACTGGAAGAGCTTGTCCAGGATAAAATGGCCAGTGGATTCTCCCTTTCCCCACCCCCATCCCTATCCCTATCCGGGGGACATATCACAACCATGGGCAGGAAGGAACAACAGAACCTTCTCTGGTTTATTTCAGAGTAAATGTGACTTTCCTCCCTTTTCAATCTGTTCTGTCTTTATCCAATAAAAGTAAAACTTGCAAACCGAGGTGAAGTTTCAGGGTACATGACGGGTTGGAAATCCACTTAAACCCTACCTGCCCCTCTTCGTAAAAAGAAGACAGTTAAAAAAAAAAACTATAATGCAAATACTTTATTATCGAGTGATTGGTATTAGCTTTTTGTCTGGGCGTTAATAGCTCAAAAACCATACACCAAACCCAGGCTCTTCCACCTAGCTCTGCTGTATCATTTTTGTTTAATATATATATATATAAAGGAAAGAAGAGGAAGGAGGAAGAGAAAGAAAATATATCTGTATTGAAAGAATTATAAGCCAAAGTGCGTCTTTCTTGTTTTGTCCATATACACACATTGCACCATACATAAATAATTACATTGTAAAAATGACTCCATAATTACAAGTATAATATATATTTCCATATAATATATAAAACTTTATATTAAATCTAGGTAGATGATATCTGGGGTTTTCGTCCGTGGGGGCTGTGTCTCTGGGCATCGGCTCCTCTCGAGGCCAGCAGGTGGCTCCTCCCACCTGCCCCTCCGCCTGGGCCGCCGCTATCTGGGGTTGTTGAGGAGGATCTCCAGCCAGCAGGGGCAGGAGGTGATGAACTGCCGGGAGTAGCAGGGCCCCCAGCCCTTGGCGAAGCTGATGCGGACGCTGTTGGGGTCGTAGGGGCCGTCGGCGGCCTCCGGCTCGGGCGCGTGCTGCAGGCCCGAGCGCTCGAAGTCGAACACCTTGATGGAGAAGCCAGGCGGCACCTTGCGCACGACCAGGGCACGGCCGCCGGGCACGTCCAGCGTCGGGGAGTTGACGAAGATGGGGTGCTCGCCGCGGTTGTAGGCCCACACGCCGTCGGGCTCCTTGCTGAGCAGGATGCCGAAGCCGATCTTGCTGCGCGTTCGCCGCACCGACTCGCTGCGCTGCTCCAGGTTGAGCTGGCCCAGGCAGAAGCCGCTGCCCTGAGGTAGGTCGTAGAAGATGCTGACGGCCTGGTCATACACCGCGTAGAGGCGGCCCACGCGCGTCCGGTGCTCCCAGTACGCCACGCTGCACCAGTGGCTCGGCTTGGTGGCGTCCGGAGACATGCTGGCGTCTGTGGGACAAGCACAGGGGCCGCCGCGTTATTTGGGGTGGGGAGGTAGGTGCTGCTGTCTGCACAGTGGGAGCTGGGTAAGGTTTCCAGCATCCAGTGGTCATGTGGGCACCGACTGTGTGCCAGGTTGTCCTCACGAAATGCAGCACACAACGGGACATCTCTTTCACACACGCAACGTCACGCAAAGGAAGAAACAGAGGTCATGAGCCACACAGTGCAAGCCAGAGAGCACCTGCTGCATGCTAGATGCTGTGAACCAATAGACATGAACCCAACATACCCTGCCCCTGACTCTTCTGCTAGCAGGAGAGAGACATCTGCCTGCACCCCGGAAGGAGGGACTGACTGTGGGGCACCCACCGTGGACCAGGCATGGAGCACTGTACTTCTTATTCATCACAGCACATGGGACTCACTTGCTCCTCATGATCACTCTGCAAGGACGCCACCTTCTCCTCATTCTACAGAGGAGGGCACCCTGCCAGGATTTGAACCCACTAGTCCAAGTCCCAACCTGACAGGACTAGGCATTTGGGGGATGGGAGGAGTGAAATCACCACATTCAAGGACTCAAGCACAAGAAGGCGGGCTGGGGGTGGGGGGATGTGCCCCAGGACCCCTTCCGGCATGGAGCAGGGGGATTCCTGTGGTGGCCTTGTTATAAATATGACTACCTGACTGCTCCCTGCCTCAGCCTCAGTCTCCTGGTACCGCCCACCTGAGTTGGCTTTCTTGGCGGGAAATGCAGGTTGGCACCAGAACTGCAGTCACTTCTGCATGGCAGAGGAGCTGAGGGTCCCTAAATGACAAAATGGCTCCTCAAGGGCTCTGGAGATGGCCAGCAATTCTGAGGTGTGTGCTGCTCCTCTCTGGGCCTCAGTTTCCCCACTGTATAGCAAAGGGGTAGCTGTTACTGAAACCCCTTGTCACTCTGACTGGGGGCATCTGTGTGTCTGGAGAAGTTTAACAATTTTCTGAGACCAAAGTTCAGACCAGCACAGGCAAGGGTGCTCCCTGCTCTCACGTGGCCTGCTTCTCAGATTCCGACAGCTGGCCTTTCCTTGGAGCTCACAGCTCTGAGAAGCAGGCAGGCACCCGTAACTGCACAGTGAGGTGACATGATTTGCCTGCCACACCTGCTTCCACACAGGTCCCTGGCCAGGCCTGTGCAGAGGGAGGCATTCTGCTGGAGGCTTGACAGAGCAAAGACAGGTGCTTCATGGCTGTTTCTCCGAGGAAAACTGATCACAGTCCAACCAAATCCCAGAGGACAACACTTCTAACAGCTTAACCTGGGAGCTCGAGTGAGGCCAGCTCTGGCTGCCTTTACCTTGCCCTGGCCTTGCCCCTGCCTAGAGGTCCCAGAAGAACTGGGTGGCAGGGCCCCTGGCATCCCCTTACACACTGGGAGGCCCACCCAGCCACCTGGCAGGAAGCTGTCTGCCTCAGGACATCCTGGAGGCTGACCGCTCTGCTGTGGCTTTGGGCTGGACACAGGTCCAATGAGTGTGCCCCTTGCCCTGTGCCTGGTACTGAGGTCCCAGACACAGGTCCCCAAGTCTGCTGGTGATAATCCAAGTTCTCACACCAGCCCACAGCTTGGATCATTTTGCCTCACAGTCTCCAGCGAGGCCTCTGATACTTTCAGCTGATGGTCAGGAGAGGAGGAAGAGGTCCTGCATCCTGCCCTCAACTGAACTGCCCCTTAGCCAGTGGGCAATAATGACAGAAACAGCTCAAACCCATGGGAGGTCATCAGGCTGCAGGCACCAGGCCAGTCTCAGCAGGGGGGCAGTTGGAAAGAGCCCAACTGAGCTCCAGCCACCCCATGCCAGTGTCCCTCTCCCCACCCATCTATCTGGCATAGGTCTGGGAGCCCCCAGGGGCCAGAAAAGCAGCACTGTGCCAGCATAACCATGAAACTCCAGTACCCACATTGCTCACCAACCAACAAGAATTCCATGAGTGTGCCAGGTAGGGATGCAAAGAAGAGATGCCTGGAGTACACTGGGAGACGGGACAGGCAATGGCGTTCACGAGTGCCTTCTATGAGCTCCACCCCTTCTTCACAACAGCCTTTTTCACCTCTACTAGGTGAGGAAACTGAGGCCCAGGGTACACACCAGTGAATGCTGGGGCCGCCTCAGTGCCAGGCCACATTCTAGAGGGGAGCTCTTCTCCACTCTCCAGAGTGTTCAGCCCTGGCCCCTCCCTAAAACCTGTGCACTAAGCAAGTCCCTCTCCCTCCCTAAGCATCAGTTTCCCTATAGGTAACCATGACTGCTCTCATGGTCCATGAGTCCTAGAGGTGATTTTTTACAAGCTGGGGCATCACTACTCCCACTCTTGGAGGACTCACTGAGGGAGTGGTCACTGCTGCCCTCTTCACAGACAAGGCTCTGAGACAGCTGCCCAGCCACAGAGTGACAGCACTACCCTGTCCATGGAAAAAGGCAAAGTCTAGCTGGAGAAGGGCAGGGGCACAGGGCATGGGTGGAGTGACTTTCTTTTTCCCAGCTTCTGAAAGGTTTCTGGCTGGGAAGTCTAGGAGGCTGAGGCAGGAGGGTCACTTGAGCCCAGGAGTTTAAGCCCAGCCAGGGCAACAAAGCAAGACCTCATCTCTACAAAAACACTTTAAAAAATTAGCTGAGCATGATGGTGTACATCTGTAGTCCCAGCTACTCGGGGAGCTGAGACAGGAGGATTGCTTGAGCCCAAGACTTTGAAGTCACAGGGAACTGTCATTGTGGCACTGCATTCCACAGAGTGAGACCTTGTCTCAAAAAAAAAAAAAAAAAAAAGAAAGGCTTTTGGGTTGGGCGCGGTGGCTTACGCCTGTAATCTCAGCACTTTGGGAGGCCATGGCGGGCGGATCATGAGGTCAAGAGTTTGAGACCAGCCTGGCCAACATAGTGAAACCCTGTCTCTACAAAAAACACAAAATATTAGTCAAGTGTGGTGGCCGGCACCTGTAATCCCAGCTACTCAGGAGGCTGAGACAGGAGAATCGCTTGAACCCCAGAGGCAGAGGTTGCAGTGAGCAGAGATCCCAGCCTGGGCAACAGAGTGAAACTCTGTCTCCAAAAAAAAAAGAGGAAGAAGGAGAGGAGGAAAGGGGAGGGGAGGGGAGGGGAGAGAAGGGGAGGGGAGGAAGCTTTTCAATTCAAGGACAGATGGGACTTCCTATCCCCCTCCTCTCAGTTGCCCCCATCCCAGCCAGGTCAAACTCCCCTCATCCCCCCACCTCAAAACCTATGTCCCCAGCCTAGCCCCAGCGCTCCTTATGGTACCCTATGACTGGGGATGAAGCCACAGAGCTGCCCTTGGGCTGTGCCTGCCCTGGCCATCCAGCTCAGGGACACCCAGGGCAGGAGCCAGGCCCCATCCCCTGCAGCTTCCTTGGTTGAACAGACTGGCTTACACCTCATCAGGTCTGTGCTCCTAGCCAAGTCTCCCAGATTCAGGGACACAGACTGCCACTTCTGGGAAGCCCTCTCTGAACTGTTCCCTCCTGGGGCACCTGAACTGTAGCTCCTCCCTTGGCCTTAACAAGTATCTGTGCTGCTTGTCACTGCCCCCCAGTTGGTCTACACTCTCTGACTAGGAAGGGGTGGGTCTCCATCTATCCCAGGGCCTTGTACATCCCTAGGTCGCTCTCTTGGAACGTGTTATTAGGTTGGTGCAAAAGTAATCGTGGTTTTTGCCATTGCTTTCAATGGCAAAAGTCACGATTACTTTTGCACCAACCTAATAAAAAGGAAGAAGCCAGGAAATAAAATACGTCCTAGTGCCTGCACATTGCCCTCACCCCACGGGAATCCTGCCCAGCAGGTGGGCTGGGGGGCTCAGGCCTTCAGGCACTGAAGGGTGGTGGGTAAACACTGAGGTCCCTTGTCTGATCCGGAGCGGGAGCCGCCCGCTCTCAGTCTCAGGACTTCAGAGCTTCAGTATCTGCCGACATTGTCTTGTCCAAGAAGACCCAACACTTAGGGCTTCCACAAACCAACATGTTTTTTAACAGGGGAGTTGGGAATGACACAGGGCAACCACTGCAGCCTCGACCTCCCAGGCTCATGCGATTCTCCCACCTCAGCCTCCCAAGTAGCTGGGACTACAGGCGCCCACCACCACACTCAGCTATTTTTTTTTTTTCCTAATGTAGAGACAGGGTTTTGCCATGTTGCTCTGGCTGGTCTTGAACTCCTGGGACCAAGCAATCTGCCTGTCTCGATCTCCCAAGTGTTGGAAGGACAGACATGAGCCACTGCACCTGGCCGACCACTGCTTTGCCACATACAGACTTATTTTCGAACTTATTTGTATTTCTTTCACCACGGACCAATGAAAACTTAGTCTTGAGACTGACCTGTTGGGACCACGAATGGAGTCCAATAATCTGGTGACCCAAAGACAGCACCCTGGGGAGCATTGAAGGACTAGCCCAAGGACACACGGCAGTGGGCGGCAGACCTCCGGCCAGAACTTGAGAGCCCGGGACTCTACTTTAACCCATGCTGTGTGATCCAAAAGGTTTCCCAGTGAGACCGACCTAAGGCTGCCACCACAGACTGGATGTGTGGCCATCGATCAACACACTGCTAACTGTCCCCAAGCCTCAGTCTCCCTGTCTGTAAAAGCACCGATTCATAATAAAGTGCCCCACCATTCACACATCTTTGAATTTTCTGGAAACTCCAGCAAAATCAGCTGGATGCAGAAGGAAGGAGCTACCTTGTTTACCAGCCCCAGTGTTGGCCTTACCCTTCAGGGGCCAGGGATCTTTTAGTGGGGCTGGGAGTCACGGCCCAGGGTCACCACTATGGACGGTCTCAATAGTACTGTGCTGACAAGGCCCTTTGCAAACTGCCAAGCATCGTACAAATGTTAGGGATTAGCCCTTAGCCTGGCACCTACAGTGGAAGAGGTGCTCAGTGAGTGACGGAATGGAAGAACAAAGCAATGAATGTCTGAATGTCTCTGTTCCCTCACACATGTGC